ATTTATTTTATTTGGGGTGAGGGGAAGGGGGGGGGGGGGTCTGATTTACACCCTAGAGGCTACCGTCAACGTTAGTGTTCACTCCTGGGTAACATAATTAGCGATGCTGTCACGTAAATGAGCATCTAGCGCGCATGCAAATATAGCAGAGGAGAGAGAGAGAGAGAGAGGGCGGGCGGAGGGAGGGATGGAGGGAAAAAGGGGGGGTCCCATGTGTTGGCTTTGTGTTTTGAATGAAGCTCGACAGCGTGAGACGCGATATTTTGGCTTATAAGTGGGAGCAGCGTCCCGTGCAGATGTGAGACAAGTGGTCCTGTAGGTGGACGCTGAGTTTCCAACACTCACGGTGGGGGGGGGGGGTTGCTTTACGGAGAGCAAGGTGCTACTCTGCTGAGCTCTCTTAATGCTTTTCCTCCTGTCATTTTATCTAGATGGGGGAAGAAGGAAAAAAAAAAAAGAAAAACAGGGAGCGGGCCGCTTTAATTTGGACGCCATCCCCCTTGGCGGAGGAAAAAGGCGCACTTCTGTTGAAAAGGAAATCCATCCGGAGAGGAGAGACGCTGCTAAACGGTTATGAAGTTTTAAGGTAGGTATGTTTATATGCACAGAGGGGTCCTCTGTCACTGCGCTTTTAGTCGTACGCTAACGTTACTTAATTTGAAACAGTCCTCATAATAAAGCTGCTGTGTTTTCTCTCTTGGCAAATTCTAAAAATATTTGGCAGATGGTAAACAAGTGTCGCTGTAACTTTTACTGTGTGCCCCTTATTATTCCCTCGCATGCTATTCCTCACATGAGAGTTTTTGGGGCATGATTTTGCCATGTTATAAACTCTGAATATAATCTAAATGGGGGTTATTTGGATTTATTTTGTGTGTAATACATGCCTGATTGGACTGTGCTCTCTGTTTGACAGGAGAAACAGTCACTTGAAGCAGTTGTTTATATCAGTTTGACCTGTTGACCTGCATGTTGTGTCAAGGTTTGGGTTACAGGACTTAGTGAGCCTCCAAACTTGTGGCCCTTGTCTAAATCCTGACTGTCCACTGATTGATGAGGAGGGATTTTGTAAACATTCGGTATAGTGAAGGGCAATACGTAATCAAAATACAGTAGGTTTTAATAGCTTTTGAGGTTATTGCATGGTGTTGTGCTCTAATTTCTTTGCTTCATACTGAAGTGTTTCTAATATTTTGTCCCCTCTGTTGATGTAAATTACTGCCTGCATATGCAGTTATGTAAAGCAAATAAATGTTGTGTATTTTGGTATTTGAAAAGAATCTTTAAAGTGTAACAAATCAAATTAAATCCATATATAGTGCATCGTTGGCATGATCTTGGTTCTCTTTGTTGAACTTGCCTCTGGTTACCTCCTGTGATGATGACCCCCTGCCTGGAGAGACAGCCAGTGAACTACAAAGATAACAAAGGCAGCTCTCTGGGTTCCCTTTGAAACATAGTACAGTTCACATGTGGCACATGTCCGTCTGAAAACTCTCGGGTTTTTATTGGTAGGATCAGTTATTGGAGTTAAATAAAACTGTTTTTTTACCCTCATGTTAAACCCTTAATATAAAGTTTTGCCCTCTTTATGCCCCCTTTTTTGGGAAATTTGTTTTGAACTTTTAGAACCAATTTATACAAAAACATAAACAAGGCAAGTACACACTGACATACAGTTTAATTAAAATATAAAAAAATAGCAAATAATTGTAAATACATGGCCAAATATGCTGTGTTTACAGTGTCCATAGCTGCCATGATGATAATGTCCATATTGTCTGTACATTCTCACAGTCAGTGGATGTACAGTGAGTAATGATTTAGAAGGCAGCTGACATAAATTGTACAATAAATGGAAACTTTTCAACCAGGTTTGCAACGTAAGTAGTGTATACAAATGAACAATGTTTATCTTCCCTCCATGCTGGTCGCACCCAGAGCTTCCGCTCATTTGCCTCCCTCGATACGACTGTCCTTGGAGGCGGGCATAAAAAAAAAATCCGGAAGTGAAATTTGTAGTTCTTGAGGGGTACATGAATCGACACACACTACTCAGTTACAGGTCAGTTTGCGCTCTAATATAATTAAGTTAGTCTAAATCTTAACACATGCACAGTGTGTTTCAGATGCAGAGTACCTCATCTCCTTAAGATAAAGAAACCATATAATTGAGCCACGTCTTAAAACAAAGAGGAGAGATAGATTTCCATTCTCCCAAAATACCCCCTCACCTGTAACCATACAAAACATTGTTGGGCAGGTTTTAGAAATCCACGCTTATTCTTCTTTTTCAACTTGCTCGTTTAAACGTATATTAATACTAACTTTTTTTATGTCTCTACTATTCCATCAAATATAAATATTTTAGCTGTCTTGTGCATGTTTTAAAACACATTTCCCCCCTATTTAGCCACATAGATTGTTGTAGCTTTTAAAACTTTGGCATGTCCACTAGAGTTTAGAATAAAGTCAAATAAAGACGATTTGGCTGTGCAGCATGAACTTGTAGTAACTGGCAGACTTGTGGGTCAGTGAGGTTTAACGGGGTCTGATCCTTTTAATGTAAGTTATTTGATGCTTTTATCCTGTTTTTAGGGTTGCACTACTGCATCAGATGGAAATATTTTAGATGTAATGTCTACATACCTCATGGTGACATATCTGGTGTCTTTGAACTGTTTTGATCACGACTACTATTCAGAATAATGTGATCTATTCACTTGTTGCAGCAACGGCAAACCAGTCAAGTACTTCTTATTTCAGATAGTTGCGTTTTAGTTCACACAGCTGAAACATAACTACCTTTTGTGGATTTTCTTTATGTCTTTAGAGTGGAAGCCACTGTTGTGTTGTGAGCTTGGTCAGTATTGCTGGAGCATGAGGAAACCTGTACCACAGAAAGGTAAGAATGCATTATGTCAGAATTTTTTCCAAGAAGTATTCATAATAGCTTGCAGGAAAAGCTAAAAGAATGCCACATTTGAATCTAAGTTCATTCTAACCAATCCCTTTTCTGTGCAGGTATACTCATTTATTATCATGTAATAGCCCTGTAATCCCAGACAATGTTTGGATCAGTGAGTGTAGCAGGTATTGCAGGGTACTGACTGATGCGAAAATTACCTGTAGTTGAGAGCTTAGTCTGTCTTTCTTGGCCCCTCTAGCGATAGAGTGGAAAGATGCCAGAAGGATCAAGCATGCCCGGAGTGGACGGCCCTCCCGGGTGCCCTCACAGTACCAAGGTAAATAACCCACAGCAGCCAGTGATGTATGAAGTAAGTTTTAGGCAATTCCAACAGGAAACAGTGCCCAAGGATTTGCCTCAGCATTGGTTCATTAATCGTCAAGACAAAGTTTGCTAGTAATGTTGATGACAGATTTTAAGCCTCATGTCTCTGTTGTTTTGGGGCTTACAAAGCAAGTAAAATGCAACATAAAATGAATTCAGTTCTTTTTTTTATTTTGTATAGCGTCAGTTAAAACCATGACTAGAAAAAGACATCTTAACATTACTGTAATATGATATGGATCTTTTGGTGCTCCTCTTGTTCTTCTACAGGGCATTTCAGCTGGGAGAAATACCTGAAAGAGACGGGTGCCATCGCTGCACCCTCGTCTTGCTTCAGACAGGTGAGGAAGATTGGTAATTTGATTATTTGAACATTAACTCTGTCTCCACTGCTGTCATTATGCTGCCAATCTCCAACTTGTCTAACTTGTCAAACACCTCTATGTCTATCGTCACCATCCAGAGCCTCACACCTCCACTTAACGAGTTCAAGGCAGGGATGAAGCTCGAGGCCCAGGACCCGCGAAACACCACGTCAACCTGCATAGCCACGGTGGTGGGCCTGACAGGCTCACGGCTGCGGCTGCGCTTGGACGGGTCTGACAACAAGAACGACTTCTGGCGCCTGGTGGACTCGTCAGAGATCCAGCCGATCGGCAACTGTGAGAAAAATGGAGGCATGCTGCAGCCGCCTCTTGGTAAAGAAACGCAAATCACATGACTTTTATTTTATACGTTTTCTAGTAACTTCACAATACATTTTCTCGTTTTCTTTCTTTGTTTTTTTATTTAATTTTTAATTTTGTCCACTAGGTGTCAATGACTGATGTCATATAAATTAAATAAACTCCCTGACACTGCTTAGAAAGCCTCCTACTCAGGACATTTCTGTATTGAATACTTTTGGGGAAAAGGCAGAAGAAGAACACTCTGTTATCTGCTTATTTAGCCTTTTATCACAAAGTGTTGATGTTCATATCTTAATTTTAATAATTTTCTTAATTGTTTGGGGTACGAAATTTAAAAAAAAGATGAAAATGCTCATCGTAATTTATCAGAGCCAAGGTGACCTCTTCAGATGTGTTGTTTTGTTTTACCAAAAGTTTAAAACTTAGATATAGCTCAGAGAAAAGCAGCAAACATTCACATTTGATAAGCCTGTATCAAAAGGAAAATGACTGAAAATGTAAATCAGTTATTAATAGGTTAATTAATAACTATTAATAGTTGTAGATTCATTTTAATTTAATGACTAATCAATTAATCATTGATCATTCATCATTTGTCTGCATCAACGTCACCATATTCTTCACCTCTTCTTCAGGTTTCCGTCTCAATGCGTCCTCCTGGCCCATGTTCCTTCTGAAAACACTAAATGGAGCTGAGATGGCACCCTCTCGCATCTTTCACAAGGTACCTGTACGAGGCTTACGAGCTCAACCCACTCTAGATGTTGTCTTATATCAGGGAGAAACAAGCATGATTATTATATTATTATAGTTACTAATTTATAGCAGAGTTCACCTGGATCTTTTGGTCTGACAGTATTCACCCATAGCAAAAATTCACCAGATTTTACTGTCCCAACCTCAACCCTGACCCCCTTTTCTTTGACCCCCATGTTCCCCAGCAGGAGCCTCCTGCCCCGGAGCAGAACTCCTTCCAGGTAGGCATGAAGCTCGAGGCGGTGGACCGTAAAAATCCCCACTTTATCTGCCCGGCCACAGTGGGAGCGCTGCGCGGTGTAGAGGTGCTGGTCACCTTTGATGGCTGGCGGGGGGCCTTTGACTACTACTGCCGCTATGACTCACGTGACATCTTCCCTGTTGGCTGGTGCACCCTCACTGGAGACAACCTTCAGCCGCCTGGCACCAAAGGTCTGGACCTTAACAGTGGGGGGGGAATTTATGAAAAAGCCTGTCACATGTTTGTCCTTTTTTTAAAAGTGTCTGTTCATCCAGATTACAAAAAATATATAATTGCACTTATTTTTAGGCTGCCAGTATGCTACTTCATAACTGCTCGTCAGATGGTCAAATAGGTTTGGAAGGGTGTTGTCCGACCATTTCTGTAACGTTCGTAATGCTCACTTAATGCCAGCTGTGAGAAAGGAGCCATGGTTCTCTCAAGCTCTTTCTTTACACAATCACTTTTGTCTGCTTTCGTGTGAACAACAGATCAGTTCCGTCTGAAAATGTGCAATATTATTCATGTATTTAAACAATATTGCGTCCCCGTCCCCCCCCTCTTTATGATGGCCAGCTGTTCACCCGTCTTTGATTGTGGCTGTTCAGAACAATTCCAAACACTTTTGTCTTCCCATGCTTTGATTAACTTTGTTGTACAACGTTGTGTTGAATAATGACAAATACATTTCCTTGATCCTTGAACTAGATCTGTTCAAGCATAATGTGACCGTTATTGGCATTTTGGGGTTTTATTTGTCCTAGTTTTGTGCTTTGGGTCTCTGAGATTTCTGCCTCCACTGCTGTACAATGGAGGTAAATTTTGTTACATCCTCAAAAATTGACCCCGTTACTCTATAAAATGTAACAGTACAGTTTTCATTTCAATTCTTCCGTAGAAAGTGTTTACAGTTGTTTCTGGAATAACACCATGAGCACCACAATCAAATTATATTCCCATCCACTGTATTGTTGAGGAGGTGGAACCGCTAGAGGATATTTCAAAACCTCAGCATGTTAAACCACATCTGTCTCTGTGGCCGGTACACTAGAGTAGATGAGGAAATGTCCTCATCTGTTTGTTTATTTATTTTTTTGCAGTTTGGATGAACTGACACTTTAAAGGCTACACACTCATGGTCCACCTGCACAGGTGTTTTCACTTACTCACCTGATTGGATGTCTCTTCTTACAACTTATACTTTTATAGTCGTTATTGGTATGTTGAGATGGACGACCTCACAAAATTCCCACCATAGCTCGAACCAACTTTAACCTGAGCAGAGGTCCAATCAGTGAGGTTAACTGAAAGCGCCTGTGTGGGTGTGCAGTGCACTGCAGGGCCTTCAACAACACATCGTTGTTAAAATGAGGTTTATGACTATAGTATACAGGGGTGGGGACACACATTACATTATATTACTATGTAAGATTTTATATTTGGCATATTGTACCCAAATTGTAATAATTTGGTTATATCAGGGTGTCTGTTTTGTAGGTTTTTTTCAATGTGTATATTTGTTCAAAGAGGTTGTATGCTAAAGTTTGTGAATTTTATCATTGTGTGGAATCCTGCAAGTGCATTGGATAAACCTATTACTTAGCTGACTTATTGACCCACCAACTGACGGCTGCTTGATAATGTTGGGTGAGAGCTCTGTGTGTTGGAATGCGACTGTAGGCGAATGTAGCCTCGATGGGGATCACTGCTGTCTGGTCCCACATGCAAAGTACTAGCCATAAAACCACTATGGGACACAGACAGGAGGGGTCTTATCTATCGTGCATTTCTTTGCTACACAACCGTTTCTACCCACCTCTAGCTCACGTTTGTGTTGTAGGGAACAAGATGGTGGTTCTAGCTCTCATCTATTACAGATATTACTCCTTAAAAAAACAACAACCACCTTGCATTGGTTTAGTGACTCTTTGTTCCCACTCTACCTATCGTACTTATGTTGCATTGAACTACGGTCAAAGGAGTTATCACAAAGTAAGACTGTTAAGTCGTGCTGTCTTACAGTCAGTGAAACGTTAGTGCGTCGCTGGTGTAACAGGTTACAACTTGAAGGGGCGATGAGGTCTTAAAATGTATGGAAAGGGTCTTAAAAGGTATCAATTTAATTTAAGGATTCCTGCCTGTACCCGTTATATACAAAGACTTGAATGAACACATCCATGAGGAAGTTGACAAAGGGAGTGGAAACAAGGGTACTATTTATTCCTAGTGACATGTGTGGGACGTTATGTTGTAAAGATGTTGCGTTTATTTTGTCCATCCACTGTATTTTCACATGCATACTGTTAGAATCTGAGATACATTTGCACAGCAAATCCAGTGCATAACAAGCACTTTTGTGGTAACACATTGCATATCTTGTTTGCCACAATAGTGATTAGATATTAGATTGATATTTTACTGGAGTTTTACTGGAGTTTTCACTGTGTTTGTGGTGCATCACAGTTTGCAGCGCGATAAGTACATCATCAGCCTGAAGGCATCATTAGCAACAGTTGATCAAATCATCCACATGCGTTTGCTTTTTTTAATTCCTGGCTCCGCTGTTGAATCCCTCTCCAGATAACATGTTCTTTTGAACTGTGTTTGATTTCCAAGATCCAGTAGCATCCAGTCCAGTTTGTCAAATGTTACAATAGGCATGCCTGTGGTTTTTGCCAGCCTTTGCGACACGTCGTTGTTTTTCCATTTAGCAGACAAGTTTTCTTGTCACTAGAGATTTGTCTATTAAAGCTGGAGCATTTCAGAAGTTGTATCCATGTTAACTTTCACAACACAAGGAACAAAAGCCAGACCCAGAGCTGGGAACCGGAGTAAGCTACTTGTTAGACAAGAAACATAAAAGGAAGTAGTGGATACAAGGGTTATCAGCCACAGGGTCAATTGCACTCATCTGTTAGAATCCACAGTATGTGAAGGAGTGCAACAGGAAGGAGGGAAATGGGGAGGCAGGACATGTCTTTGTAGCTTGCTAGTGTTTTATGAAGGCCTGGCAGTCACCCAGTTGGCAGAGTTGGGCCATGACGTGGTTGAAACGAGCCTGGGTACCCCTCCACAGGCCTCTCGCTGGCACCCTGGCTAACGGTTTGATTAGACACCTCGGAGAGAATTGAGTTAAGAGATGGTATAGAAACGAAGAGAAAAGACAGGCATATGCTGTGGAAGGTGGACTGTTTACATTGTCAGCAGATGGTGGGAGGAGAGAAAAAGAGAAGGGAGGAAAAAGAAAGAAAAGGAGGAGCAACGCAAAGGAAGAGTGGTAGAGGAGGACAGGGCAGGAGGAGAGGGTGAATCTGAGGACAGCTGTGCAGACAACCACACACTTTTGACTTTTGTTTGGCCAAGAGAGGTAAGTAAAGATGAATGAAGTTACAGAAATACAGTCGGAGTGATAGATTAAAAACTCTGGAGAAGTTATCTTCCTGTAATATGAAGCTGGCAGTGGTAGCTTTGTGAACTCAATGAACTCAGTGCACTCAGGGGAGAGAGGGAAAAAAGAAGGATTTGCTTGTTGCGCGTTTGTTTGGCGGTGTTTACAAGCACTGCCAGTGATCAATGAACATGTAACCTCAAGCTCTCTAAACCTTTTAAACATATTATCTAGGTTCCGTCCAATCTGTGTAGGATCAATCAGGTGTCTTGTTTTTTTTTTCTTCTTAGCTTCACAGTGGCTCCCCTATGAAAAGTAGTAGTAGCCTGCAGACTAAGCTTTGCATTGATTGGTGTGTAAGTGTGTCTAATAAGTACAGCCCCACGGGCCAAGACCTGTGTTAATGAATGTTGCCGCTGCTCGCGTAAATCTGTCCCGGGTTGATCCAGGATAAATTCCAGTGCATTTTAGTTTGTGCAGTGTGTGTGTGTTTGCGTGTGTGTGTGCTTGCAGGTGCATGTGAAGCTTGATATCTGGGTTATACTGTGGTTTGTTCTTCTGTGTGGTTGTTTTTTCATGAGCGCATTTTTGATATTTGCCAGCTGTGTTGGCTTATAGGAAGTAAATGTCTTATTTGGATGTTATTATTTATTTATTATATGCCCTGCTCTAAATGATTTTACCATGTGTATGTTCCCTTAGTGGTTCTTGTGATTTCTGAAATGCTTCCCATCAAGAAGCGTACGGTGCATGTTTATGGGTGGGAGTGTGAGAGATACATTTTAAGACTGTCTCACAGCTGTCAGCAGATTCCTTTTTTTAAATAGGGTTTATTCCTCAGGCTTTTAAGGTGTTCACACATTTCTTATTTTTTATTCTAGCCAGCAGGAACTTGATGATAGACCCAAAGAAAATCATCTTTAATTACCTGTGCTTTCTTTCTCTTGCCTGATATCTTTCAGTCCTTGTTTTTCCTCTGCTTCATCTTCATCTTTTGTTGGTTGTTTTGGATCACAGTTTACGCAGGTAATGCCTGTTTGTCTGATTACACAATATACTACTGTATTAATATAATGTTGGTCCACCATATACCCGCCATAATTCTACATATTTTCTTGCTTACTTTTATTGTTATCTGGTCGTGCAGATGGTTAGGCTTTATTTGCTCAGGTTTTGTGTGGATTATGCGTGGTAGTGAACTATATCTGGGTCGACATGTTCTCAAAACCTGGGCAAGATACCTCAAACTTAATGCATGAGTAGATACCATTAGGGCTTAGTGGGAAATGTGGTGTGTTTTTTGCAATGTGGATGAACTAACCTTTAATCCTGCGAGTGAAAGTACCATGATTACCACACTGTATGGATGTTACAGTGTATGGATGTTAATTAATCATGATTAATTGTTCTGTTATTTGCCTCTCCCTTAATCCGACTACCATTTAGAGAAATCTTATTGCAGTGAGTCAGTTCTGTGACCTTATTTATATGCAGAAAGCCGACTAAACCCTTTGAGTTCACTGAACGGTTAAAACTCACTGAATGAGCAGTCTTATGAAGCAAATCGAAGCATGCACTTCTTGATGTAACCTCTCACCCCTTTTCCTTCTCTCACTGTTAAGCACACTACAGTCTGAAAGATGTAGTGTGCTGTCCTCAGGCTTATAACTGAGGAAGGAAGTTCAAGCGAGGAGAAATATTTTGCTGCTGAGGATGTTTGACCTTCTCTGCTGTTGTGCTGCTGTGAGAAGCTAGAGCTCAGGTGTTATGAACAGTCTTGATTTAGTTCTGAAGGAGTTGAACATACTGAAGGATTTTACATTTTTAAGAAGTTTGATGCTACATATTTTGAAAAGTAAGTGATACATCACTTGCTGTTCAGTATTTGAGAAAGGTATTTAGAGCATAGGTGAGTGCTGGTAATACCTGATGGGCCACTTGCAATGAGAGCGTGTAAAGTTGGCTGCAGCTATAGTCAAACAGGGACATTGCTAACAACTTAAAGGCTGTGTGGGGAAGTTAATTTTGAATAAACTCAATATATGTTTCTCCTGTCATTGACATCACATAACCAGATAATGTAGTCTCAGTTAATCAGTAAATAACTATTCTGACTGTTTTAACATTATTACAGTGATCGAATGTGGAGCCTCGAGCTATAGTCCTTAATTAGTTCCTTTTTCGCTGTAATGCCACAGCTTTTTTACTGAACTCCCCTTTTCTTTTGTGTCTGCCCATCTTTGACCATACAGTAGTGTTGCCTAAGAGCCTTGGGGCATTGACAGACGGGAGTGTGGAGACCCCAGCCATGCACCCCACCCCCACGGTGGGCAGACCTCCAGGTCAGAGAGGACGCAAGCCAGGCCGCAGGAAAACCAAGGTGACGGGGCCCTGGAATCAGAAGGGCTCAGCATTGGGACCACAGAGCATCCAGCCAGGCAAAGGCTTGGAGCCCGTCAAGGTCCCCAAGAAACGAGGTCCCAAGCCTGGCAGTAAGGTAGACGTGAAGTTTTTAGACACCATCAGACAGTCTCCTTTAATTGCAGGGTCAATTCACCCAAATTCCAAAAAAACATATTTTCTAATTTACATCTAATTGTGTGCATATACTTTTGGTTTTATTTTCCCAGGTTTTGCAATATCTGTCTAAGATTTCTGCCTCCCTTATACACTAGGGGTGAAAGCTAGACTGTTTCTTTGATTCTACAAGGACTGTGTCTGTCCACAGTGAAATTTAATTGCCGTAGAATATTTTACTGCTGTGTGTACCACAGACAGAATTCATTTCACCTCCATTTATATTGTGGTGGCAGCAGAAATCTCAAATATGCAAATATGTCAAAACAGGGACTCAAAACCAAACTACTGATTTTACATTCCTAAATACTATTGGAGGTAAAATAAAATTTCTTGTGTGAACCTTGACGTCTCAAAATTAGTGTTTTTGCTCACTTCTGATAAGCAACGGTGCTGAAGTGGTTTCACAAGCCTTGGATACATGTAAACATTTTTGACCCTGACCTAAGGGAGCATTGTCATTGTAGAATATCACAGCATGAAGAGTTTGCCCCACTTGACTCTTTTCTCTTTGTTCTTTGTTTACAGTTGGGCTGGGCAAAGAGAGCTGGCTGGCTGGAAGATGCCATGGCTGGCCCAGGGCGGCCAGTGACCGGCCCAGGGCGAACCAGGGGCAGACTACCTGCCAACTGGGCACAAAGGATAGCTCTGCAGCAGGCCCAGACTCAGGCAGAACCTATCAAGATCCCAAAGAAAAGGGGGCCCAAGCCGGGCAGCAAGGTAGCTGTCCAGAACATACACATTCACACAGGCATCACTGAACCAAGCATTTGGCTCCATGAGGAGGTAACTTATTGGGTATAATTTTTATACCATGTAATACCTCACTTATGAAAAATAACCATTTTTTTTTTTCTGATAACAATGTTATGTTTATCTCTGCTCCGCCACATCTTGCTCTCGTCTCTGTTGTTTCTGTCTTTCTTACCAGTAATACAGGATTACACCTCAAGAGAATACATACGGGATATAACAGGCTTATCTTTCAACATGTTATTCTGTCTTGGGTTAACATTTATAAGTAAATGCCTTGCTGTTTGTTAATGTTTTTTATTGAGGCAGATTGAGCTGGTTTCCACATCAAAGACATCTACAGTTCCAAAACACAGTGGTTGTCTACAACTAATGTTTGTATGCTGGAAAAGTCGGTAGCTGCACTCATCAGGTCCCAATAATGTACTGAAAAGAGATTTATGTAGTAGTGAATTTTCCTTTTAACCTTTGTTTTACTGATGTTAAACCACGTAACATTTACAGAAAGGCACTTTGTTTTCTGAGTTTCAATATGAAAGTAATAACCAATTACTATCAATCGAAATCTAATCAAAATTGCAATACGGCAGTAGTGCAATATACAAATCTCAGAAGCGGTAGTTTTTTTGATTAAAGTAAAATGTGACAAAACAGCATTATAATGAAGTACTGAAGAGATACCATGGCCAACAAATATTGATTTACGAAAACATGGTACAGTTGGTACAGATTCCAAAGAAGGTAACAATCGTTTTTTAAGTGAAAATTAAATTTGTGATGCAAAAATAATCCTCCCCCCACATTATCGTGAATCATATCGCAATATCTGTCAAAATAATCGCAATATGATGTTTTTCCCATATTGTGCAGCCCTAGTATGAACTATATGTAAACTGTATTGATGTGTTTGTATCCAGAGAAAACCACGGGTGGTACCTAATCCAGTCCCCACATCTCCCACCAGCAGCACCCCAGAGCCCGACACTAGCACTGTGCCTCTGGACAATGCCACAATCCCCAACTCTGCACTACAGGCTCCCACAGGTACATAACATCCACAGACCTGGACATACACACTATTACTGCTGAATATACTTTTCTGGGATGCTCAGTGCATGTGTAAGACTATGGTTCGTTTTGTCATGCTCATACTACCATACACTCACTGCCACTGCCTTTTGTTGGCAACACAATCTGACAAATAGTGTTTAAAAGGTTTAGGATCAATTATAAGTCATATAACCTTCAATATTGATTCCTCTGGTTGTTTTTTTGCCCCATAGTTTGTGTTTACCTAAACAAGTACGGCAAGGTGGGACCCCATTTGGACCAGAGGCGTATCCAGCAGCTCCCAGACCACTTTGGACCAGGCCGGGCCTCTTCTGTGCTTCAGCAGTGCGTTCAGGCTTGTGTGGACTCTGCTCACAACCAGGGCACAGTCTTCTCCTGCCTCAAGTCTGGACAAGGAGGCGAAGTAATTTCAGGTGGGACTTTTCTCTCTATCACTCTCCTCTTCCTGTGGAAAGGTTTTATGAAACAGCATATTAAGAGGAGTTTGCTATATTGTTCACCTGTGTTTGGTGGCGATATCGCATCCTTGTTCAGTTATTTTCCATTAGACCAGAATGTAGTGCTGTTGTCAAAGGATCAGCTTGTTATGTGTAAATTCTGATATATATGTTACATAATATGTGGGATAACTTATTTTTTGCATGTCAAATAAAAGACTACATTTTCATTGAACAGAATTGTATCTTCTGTCTCTTGCGCCTGTTTGTCCTGTGTAGCCTACTTTGATCAGCAGCAGCACACCCTGACCCTGCCCACAGTCAGCAGTGTCACCTACGTTCTCCGCTTCCTAGAAAAACTCTGCCACAACCTTCACTGCGATCCTCTGTTTGGCAGCCAGCCTGTAGCCAGAGGAGGCCTGCACTACGACAGTCACACATACACTGCAGGTCAGTGCTGCTGTTCTCTCACTGGGTATTCACATGCACATCTTCATTGTAAATATTTAGTGAATATGGGGTGGGATATCAGTTTTGAGGCATATTTATTATGCTGGAAAGCAACAGTAGACACATTTTCCAGACAGCAGTTACATTTTATGTTTACATATTATTGAATTTGACAAGAATGTAAGAGTAAAGCAGTGCTACATGAC